TCATTGAGTAAACGATCAGCACAATGCTTGCAACCTTAGGTGTCTGTCCCAGACCTGGCTTTCAGTAGCTTGTCCATTGTTACCTGTCTTCCCACAGAGGAATCCCTGATAAGTTCCCATAGAAGAGTTTTAAAGCTATGTTAGAACAGCTGTCCTACATAAATTCCATTGGGAGCCCACAAGTGTAATTACTAAATTTGATAGTGCTTACATAGCTTTCACATGTGCTTTAAAACCCACAACATAGTAAGGCTAAAGTGATTAATAATTTCTGTTCTATTCCAGAGAGATGACAAAATGGCAAAGTTACTTCTTGCCTTCCTTTTATGCAGTGTCTATCACTGGAACTATATTTACTCCATGAGTAATGTTCCTTAAAATTCTCGTGCTTTTAAATTCCATCATGTCCTGAGCTATAAATACTCTATCTGTGTCAACTGGAATTTCCTCTGTATTTATTACGCTCTGGCAAATGCCACTCATTGGAAGAGCAGTCATCCCAACTATTACAGGGAAATTGTGTGCATGTGTATTTTCCACACTGGAATAGAAACAAGCTGCCTGGTATCAAACCCAAACAACTGTGTCAGAAGAATTCCTTCTTCAGCATTCAGTCGGAGTTGGAGCCTATTAACACTTGATTTAGATTAACATCAGTGCATGGTTTCATTTGGGTAAACAGACTACATGCTCCTCAGATCAGCCAGTTTCTTGTAGCACTAAATCATTATTTTTGAGAATATTTTCTAGTGCACATTATCTAGTGCAGCGCATAGTTCCTTCATGCAAAGTAGCTCAAGGTGGAGAAAATAAACATCAATAACTTTATTGCAAGAGTTCAGGGATCCTCATATCCACCAGGAGCAGATAATTTTTCCCAGTTTGAGGGCTACGTTTCCTTCTGGACATCATTCCAGGGGCCACATGCCATTGGTCAGATGCAAAAGGGGGCAGAGCAAATGCAATTTTTACCTCTGTGGTTTCTTCACACTCTCGCACTCCTTTGTTCTCCGTTTAGCAAACAAGCAGTATTGAACAGCATTTGAGGAAGATGCAAAGTAAGGTGCAGTTTGGGAAGGTGCGGGGCCTCAGGAAAGCCCATATATGAGAGGCCTGGAAGGCTGCATTGCCCCCAGGTCTGAGGTTCCCCATGCTTGATATGCTATCACATAAGTATTTCATTTCAGTTATGTGCTGACTTTTTATTTATGACTGTAGAGGCCTTATAAAATCAGATACTACCACAGAGGTCCCAACCTTCATGAGTGGTGGTGTATGTGAAAGAACGTGTGGCCCACTGTGTACACACACAAGTCACTTTGTGGTTCTTTGGGTGCCAGCCAATAACTTTTCATTGGCTTTATGTTGAAGATAAGACTATTCCTCTTGATGTAATTCTTTCTCTCAACAGTAATTAGGAATCTGATTTTACTCTTATGGAAGCCACATTCCGAGACTTTGCTGTGAAAAAGCTGAAGATACATTTTTTGAGTGTGAAGACTCATGAGGAATTTTTTTTTTTTAAAAAAAATCAAACATATGATGGAAGCTGTTCAAGATTTCTGCATTATTCAGGCCATTAAATAGGACTAGACACTCAAAAACATGTGAAGGGGGAAAGGAAGCCAACTTCAGTAAAGTGTTTTATGCTTGCAACAGGCAGATGATAGAAGTAGCTCTGGGAACATCCCTCTGTATTTATCTCCAAAAACCATTGTAGAATCCAAGATTGCCCTTAATATGCTTTTGCATCTTATAGATAAAAAAAAAATCCAGAAAATTCTAATGTGCCCTCACAATAATATCTTAAACTCAGCAGTTCTCTTTATTCTCTAAACAACATTGAGAAGTGATGTGTTTCTGGATTGGGCTAGGGGGGAAACTCTTGATATGTCTGTCGAAACAGCTGCAGAAATATTGGGCTCTGTTTCAGATGCAGTGTGTATATGCAAAATTGTATGTAGCCACAATACCTGGCTGCTACCTTGCAAAGGGAACAGGGAAGCCAAATGTGGAGGCCATATCCTTGTCTCTGCTGCCTCCCCTTTCTTGTCCACAATTGGTGTCCCTCCTGTTTCGTGTGGTGAGGGCAAGGAGAAAAGAGCATGAAAAGGCAACCAGGAATTTTATGTATAATTTGCTACTGCCACAAAATCATGAGGAAACTAAACTCTAAAAAAACATACTAATGTTTAGTCGAGAAAGTAGTATGGCCATTGAGAACATTTGGATGAAACAAGTATTTACATATAGAGGGCGAGTAAAAAAAAGTAATTGTACTTTCTGCAGAATCTCCTGCACCAATTATCTAATTTTAGAAGCCAAGTGCAGTATCTAGACTTTGAAGTAATGGGAGAATATATCATTTTGCTAGAAAGATCTAAAGCACATTTCAGTATAATAAGCACATCAGGAAACAGACATAAGCATCTGATTGTATTAAATTACAATGCCCCTTAAATTGCAAGGCTTTGCAAACATTCACATCACATTAAGTAAGGTAAAAAGGTAAAGGACCCCTGGAAATTAAGTCCAGTCAAAGGTGACTATGGGGTTGAGGCGCTCATCTCGCTTTCAGGCCAAAGGAGCCGGCGTTTGTCCACAGACAGCTTTCTCTTCCAATTGCCTCAATGATGGAGTAGGAATGTGAACTCTATGGCATGGCTATAGTTACATAGCACAAGGCAGAATGAATTGGGATAGTTTCACTATACATTTGCATCCCAAAGTCTAATGGCAAAATAATTTATTCAGCAATTAAGTCTTAAAAGTTAAATTCAATTTAAAAAGCCAATGTTGTGCTTCAAGTTTACTTAAATGGATGGTACACAATTAAGTTTAACAAATTAAATTAAGTTTAACAAAGCTACATAACTAGCGTACAACAAAACAAAGCAATTCAACACACAACTAGAAAGTATTGGAACAGAAATTTAAAGCATCCCAAGGTTCACATTCAGGGATAAATCTCACTCTAGGAAATTCCCCAATCACAGAAATTGTCATGTGATGAAATTACACCCACTTCTTTGTGCTTTTGCAAAATTTAAAAAGTGCCAATTTGGTACTGGGTGCAGAATTCAGCATCATGAGAATCTTAATTAAATATTTCTAATCCTCCAAAACATGGGTTGAAAATATGGTAGCAACTCCAATTAAGTTTCAGAAACCAGAAAAGCGGTTGAAAAGCATTTCAGTGGTCAGTGGCAGAGCTTCCAAGAACCAGGCATCCTTTCCCCTTCTAGTGACTGAACAGCAGAATAAAATTATTCAGCAACTAAGAGCATCTGCTTAATTTTCAGGTTTTGGAAATCAGCTTTTCCACTGCAAAAACAGAACAACATTCATTTTCTCCAAATTAATCACAGAGAAGCAGAAGCATTGAACGCACATCAATGCATTTTATTCATGTATTATTTTTGAGAAGCCACCACCATGGTCTTGCAAGGCAATTCAAGTGGGATAAACAAATTGCTCTTTGTCTAGAGGATTTACAAACATCTGTTCCACATCATATATGCCAGAAACACAACCCCATCTTCAAATTAAAGTAGTAGACCCTGTGTGCCTCTAACATACATGAATGGGGATCGATGTTCTGCTTCTATGATCAGCTCTCTCTTTTCCTTATGAGCTAAACAGAAAGATATACCTTGGATCCCGAACACCCTGGGACTCGGATATTTTGGCTCCTGAACACGGCAAACGCGGAAGTGATTGTTCCGGTTTGTGAACGTTCTTTTGAAACCCGAACGTCCGACGGGACTTCCATGATTTGGTTTTCAAATGTTTTGGAAGTTGAACAGACTTCCGGAACGGATTCCATTCGACTTCCAAGGTACGACTGTATAGAAGATATTGAAAATGGTAACTGTTAACTATGGTTGCAAAAAAACACCTCTGTGTACAATGCAGACAAGTTAATAACAAATAGAATTATCTTGGTATTGCGCCAAAGTTTTGTTAGCCATGATCAGCACTGAATGTATGCCCCAAGAAACGTGTGTTTAATATATGCTGCAATTCATACACATGGTCACTTTGCAACACAGCCATTTGGTAGTTCTTTGTGAATGGAGTTTGCTACTGGATTCAGAAAGATTTTGACACTGCCAAGAAAATCCTCTTCTTTGGAATTTGGGGCTGGTGTTGTTAATTACCACAAAGAGAACCACTCTTCAAACCACTTACCTTAGTTAATACATGGTCCACATGATAGCACTGCACTTGGCACTATATGTTTGAATTAATCATGTTCTCCATAGTGATCACACACAAATTCTAATAACACAGCATCTTTTGAAATATGAGGATATGAACAATTATGGCTTTCTTTTGAAGTAGGCTAGCCTTTCATCCTCATACTAATCGCAATGAAGCAATTTTTTTAGGTGTTTCAATAACCAAATGTTACTTATTTGGAAGGAAGTTGCACAGAATTCAAAGGAATTCCATCCAAGTATATAGAGGAACCTTTAGTTAAGTAACACAAGTGGGTGGATGACCAATGTTATATACTCAGAGCAGAGCCATGGAAATTCATGACTTCAGTACCTGAAGTCCACTAATTTCAAGGGGTCTACTCTTGAGTATGGCTTGGATGGTCATCACCCAATGATGTTTTCAAAATTAATGTAAAAATGAACTGTCACACTGTGCCAAAACAGCCATATATTCAACCAATTTGAATAAGAACAGAGCAGCCAAAAATAATGGGATCAAGCAGTTTTGATCTCCCCAATAAGCTTCAGAAACAGACTGCCAGTGAAAGAATCCAGACATGAAGTAAATATTTGGGTTTGACGGATACATCAAGTATTCATACAACAGCTATTTTTCAACTTCCCCATATCTGGATTTCATACTGATCTTAAAGAAAGCTTTCAGACTCTTCAGTATTTCATGAAACCAATACAGTTGCTTCACTTTCAAGGCAGCATTCATGTTGGTGTGCAAGTGGAAATTTTAAAATAAAAGTTTAAAAAGTAGCATAGAAAATATTCAGGTGAATATGGTACCTAGGCTTTTATTATATAGCTCTAACAGATAACATGTAAACACATCCATGAGCATACAAACTGAAACCATGGATAAACGTTTATTTCCCAAAGTATTTTGAATTGAAAGAATATCAGACTATAATATTCAGAGCTGGGAACAAACAAAATTTGAGAAACAGAGTATATGCTTGCTAAAACAAGAATTATGTTTATTTAGCTAGTGAATCACCTAGAGGAGTAAATTTTCACTTCCATGATAGCAATCTTTTCAGGCTTGCAAACACCCAGAAATAGGAATTAAAGATTTTAAGTATAGTTATAAAGGTCATAAAAAGTCTGATTTAGACTGAGGTACATGTACTCAAAACTGAGATTGAGTGGTAGCAAACAAACAGTTCCTCAGACAAATGCACTTTTTTCGGTATACATGTTACAGGAAAAAAAAGGAAATGTGCATTAATTGGTGCGGCCCACCAAGCTGCATATATTAATATTCTCTACACCAAACAGTTTGAAACAAGGGAAATGTCATTCTAATATAATTTCATGTTATAATTCATTTGGCTAAACTGCAGCTCAAAGTTGCTTTGCCATATTAAAAGTTTACTACAATAATTTTCACATGAACATTTAGACTTGAGTTTTACTCCAGGACTAAATATGGCATGATTTTGCTTTAAATTCTGTTGAATAGCTAAAAACTGACAATTAAAAAACTACATCAAAGAAAAATAAGTTGAAGCAATGTGAATCTCACATCATTGAACCACTTATGATGGTTAATTGTTAGTATTTAACAAATTCAAAGAGTTAATGAATCCTTGCATTCGTTCCATCTCCTGTGCCTTAGCTAGGATGCATAATTACAAAAGACAGCAGATACTGGTAAAAGCTTCAGGACAGAAAGTGCTTGACGAAGTTACAGTTCTCAAGTGTGTTTGGTGAGAGAGTATAAGGGCAGATGCACTGATGAGAACCATTACAAGAAGAGTCAATTTTGTGTTAAAGTGTTCAAAGATGTCACCTTAAGCAGGAACAAAGCTTTAATAACTTCTTCTTAGACATATTAGGCATTTCCAGAGTCCACATCATTAGTGTTGTAATTCTAGCAGGACCATCGCCATATAGTTATTGTTTGTTTCTATTCCTCTCCTGCAGAACAGAAGAAAGGAAAATTAGTATAGCTCTGTCATAGAAGACTTTTATTCGGTACAAGTGCTATGCGACTATAAATATTTCATAAAAGCATGACATTAGCTTTACAGAAACGTTACAGCAATCAGCTGAATTAAAAGTGCAATTCTATAATCCAACCTAAGGGATGCATCCAATGGTGGCTTCCCATTCCCACAGGAATACTTCCTGCTACTGCAAGGTGAGGCATCTAGTTTTCGCTAACTGCAGCCCTCTGCATTATATTTCAAAATGTTTCCAAGGGTCTCCAAGCCCAGAGGATTTTTTTCTTGGGAGGGGGTGTCATTGGGTAAGATGGATCAATTAATATAAGGAACACTTCCACTAGCATAATGCCACTTTTTGACACAAGTCAAACACAACAAATCTTTACAATTCTACTTCATCACAGAAACTTAAATGAAAGATACAAGATGATGCCAAAGTGCTTTACAGGGCACAAAAAAACACCCTCTTATAAACTGATAATCTCTAAGTTTCATTGTGTCTGGTGATATCAGTGACACTTCGGAACCCTTGTAGCTTAGTAACATGTAGATACTAGCTATGCAAGGGATAATTTACAAATGGTAAATATCTAGTACCGACATTGTTTTCTAGAACATTTTACCTAAAGTCACGAAGACTTGAATAGCAATTCCTGATATGAAGGCTTATACATTGTTGGCATCTGCCTGTCTCAAGAGACAGCAAAGTGTGCCTCCATGGGATAAGTCAACCATTGTGTTGGCAGCACCAAAATCACTTCCCCAGGATGCAAGCCTAGGCAGTGGTATGGAGGTCCTGGACAGCCCAGATGACAGGATCCCCCTCTTAGCTTTGCTGATGTGGTCTAAAGGTAGGCTGAGCAGTATGTTTGTTACACACTATTGCCTTATTGGGATGCGGGTGGCGCTGTCGGTTAAACCACAGAGCCTAGGACTTGCTGATCAGAAGGTCGGCGGTTCGAAACCCCACGACAGGGTGAGCTCCCATTGCTCAGTCCCTGCTCCTGCCAACCTAGCAGTTTGAAAGCACGCCAAAGTGTAAGTAGATAAATAGGTACTGCTCCGGTGGGAAGGTAAACGGCGTTTCCGTGTGCTGTTCTGGTTCACCAGAAGCGGCTTAGTCATGCTGGCCACATGACCCAGAAGCTGTACACTGGCTCCCTCGGCCAATAAAGCGAGATGAGCACCGCAACCCCAGAGTCGGTCACGACTGGACCTAATGGTCAGGGGTCCCTTTACCTATTGCCTTATTTATTCAACTGATATCCTTTTACTCCCAAAGGAGTCCAGGTAGTATGTGTGATGTTATGACAAAGAACTGATAGAAAAACATGTACCCTTTATGAAACATGATTACAGAATATGAATTCACGAACTGTTTGGAAGTAGGGTTTCCCTAGAAAATTATGCAAACTTTAGACTCCTACTACCTAAGTTGCTGATATTAGCCGACATGTCACTAGTGACATTTTACTTAACATTTTGAAAATACTTTGTAGTTCAGGAAAGCATGCACATTTTTTATCTGAAGCAGTGGTGGGGAACATTTGGGCTTTCTATTTGATCCACAAGGTCATTTGGAGGCAAATCTAATATCATGTCAGACATGGAAGACTTAAAGAGAACTCTTTTTTTTTTTATCTAAGTAAGGTAAAGGTAAAGGGATCTGTTTACCTTCCCGCCAGAGCGGTACCTATTTATCTACTTACACTTTGACATGCTTTCAAACTGCTAGGTTGGCAGGAGCAGGGACTGAGCAACGGGAGCTCACCCGTCGCGGGGATTCGAACCGCCGACCTTTTGATCGGCAAGTCCTAGGCTCTGTGGTTTAACCCACAGCACCACCCAAGTACCACAGTGTTAAGATTGAAGATAAGACCTCTTTGAGAGGAAAGGGCAGCAGAGGGCTCTCTCAACTTAGATGGGAGACAAGCTCTTTGCCTTCTCCCAACCCCACCTTCCATTCCAGCACTGGATGGGCAGAATGCTACCTACTATTCTTAAAGAGCAGTCAGAAGATTTATTTTTTGAAATTAATACTGCTTAGTGCTAAGATGGGGAAATAAAATCCCTTTGACTGAAGAGGCAGATATAATTTTCTAGCCACCCTGACCCTAGAACTAGAGTGGGCTCATAATGCATATTGTGTGTGTATGTTCCTGCCATGTGTATATGTGGCTGCATGCATGAGTGTGTGACTGAATTTATGGATGTGTAAGAAAAGGCGTGTGTGCTTACCATGTGCCTGTTGGAGGTGCGTTGTGATGCAGGGAGAGGGGAAAGAGGCATGTGCAATTTTTTCTTTGGGTGGGTGTTTGGTTTTTGTTTTAACATGCCACCATTCTTAGGAAGCCCCCAGAAGGTTGGGCAAGTTCTGATCTGGCCCTGGGACTCAAAAAGAATCCTCACTCCTATTCTAAAGAAGTGCATGCTTCAAATAACTACAAGTGCTATGCTCTCATCTGTTCCTCAGCCCAGATGCTTCAACCCAGTTTTCAAATCCCATGCAAAATGATGAAAAACAATTAGGAATGAAGATAAAAGGTGGACTGGGCTCCTTTTATCTTTATCCTTTTCGGAATCCTAATTTCACAAAAGCTAATCAATACACTTTTTCTTGGAACCATACTAGTAAAGGCCTTCATTCTCCCACTGTTCCCAGTACTGCGCCTTTTTCCTTCTGAAATTTTTATTCATATACCATCTACTAATCCTATCAGACAGCAGAAGTTTAATTCAGCACAAAATGTTTCTCATTCAAAACTCTTCCCTTACAATTGTTTGGAACATTCAGGACTTCTACTAACATATGTGAATTTATTATGATCAGTCTCTGAGAAATCATCAAACACTTAACTCTGAGGTAAACAATATGGGTAGCAGACAAGCAGCTAGTTTTAAAATTAACTTACAACTATGGATCACATGGTAAACATATTTACTGCCTGCAAGAATATTATTGTACTTGTAACAAAAATAGGGAATCAACCTGGAAACAAAAGAACATTGGACTTTTGAATCTGTGTATTAAGCAGACATCTTTCTAAGCTCTGCTTTCACAACTGTCATCACTTCCAAGTTCCCAAATATTTCTTTCAAAATCTAGTAAATTTTATTCTCATCCTTGCTCAAAGTTTTCTGTACAAACAACAGGTGTTTCTTCGGCGTAGTCACCTAGAATTAAGATTAACTCACTATTTAATCAGATTACTACAGATACCAATCAGTGTCATTTTGTAAATATTGAGCCTTTTCCTTGTGAAATCAAACCAAGAGTTAACAGGCAGAACCAAAATTAAATCAATTCAGAAAATTTAAATAGTTTGATGCCCTGCCTAGAACACAAAGGACTAAAACAATGTGCTGCATACGTAACGGATAAAAAGGTAAAGGTAAAGGGACCCCTGACCATTAGGTCCAGTTGTGACCGACTCTGGGGTTGCGGCGCTCATCTTGCTTTACTGACTGAGGGAGCCAGCGTACAGCTTCTGGGTCATGTGGCCAGCATGACTAAGCCAGCTATGGTGAACCAGAACAGCGCACGGAAATGCTGTTTACCTTCCCGCCGGAGCGGTACCTATTTATCTACTTGCACTTTTTTGACGTGCCTTTGAACTGCTAGGTTGGCAATAACAGTTAATGGGTTTTTAGAACAGTTTTGGTTCCGATTGCACCCATTGAGCCACTTGGTGCTTAAAATGTCTCTGTGACACACAGTGCCTGCCCTTCCAAGCTGTAAAGAGTGTGATCAGTCTTGAAAAAAGTAGTAGTAGTAAAAGCATTACCACCTTCTATGGCCTGTCTTAAGTCTATGAAGTTTTCCAGGCTGACCAGCACCAAAACATTAAGTTGAGAGACATGAGTGGAAAGAATCTTGTACAAATGTTTAGAAACAAAGAAAAAGGTGACTGAAGGGACAAGAAAGAAGATATAACAAAGCAAATTTGTGTTTCTGCCTCTCTCAGACTATACACATGATCCTCTCCTCTCCCCTATTGGTTCCTGAACCGTTTGCTTTCCTACCTCACCCTCTGGGACTCTGTTTCTCTCTCTCTCTCTTGGGCAATGTGTACTTGTTTTTTTTCCTTCTCTGGATCTGTGCACTCTTCTGTTGAGGCTGCCTGTTCATCTCCCTCTCTCTTTCTGGGGCTGCATGTACAAGCTTTGGTATCTCGATTGGTTTAATGTGAAATGAGTACTTTGTGTCTGGCTCCACCCAGCTTGCAAGTCATTTTGTGAAGGGGAACAACCCCATGACAGCCATTTTATGACAGCACTATAATATATTCAAAATTCCCAACATGCCCATGGAACCCAACATATTAGGCACCACTGTAAGCCAGTGCAATATAAAGACAGGCACAGGTTTGATGGAAACACAATTAGTAGCACTAGAATTTCTGTACTGTTCCAACAATCCAGTTACACCCTTTAAAATGAATAGAAACCCAGCAGATCAACCTATTTGTAAAATGTGCTATTTACATGAGGACAATAGGCAATAATCTTGGCAACTTGGTTGATGATGTACCCCATCTGATTTCAGGTGTCTACAACCACAAGAATAATTCCAAAAGCCATCTTGTAAATAGAACACTGGAACTAGCCTGTATATGCATCTCTAATAGCAAGCGTAATTATCTTAATAACAAGGACTGCATGAAAAACAAAACAAACACAACCACCTGAAATGAAAGTCAAAGTAAAGAACCATTACAGAAAATTTGTAAACAGAAGAACCAATTAGTATAAACATTTAAGTTGCCATTTTGTATGCAGCATCATTACTAGACTACCCAAGGAATCCTGCTTATTTATGGAGCGTGGCTGGACTCTTCATATGTAGGTATAATTTTTTCTTCTCTTCAAACACTGCAAAACTACCTGGGCTTAAAACAAAACTGTTTATTCAGTTCCACTCTGTAGATCCCACCAAAGAAAAATCAACCATGAGAAGCACAAAAGAAATGACAACTTGGGTCAAAGAGACTTTTTATTCTTCAGCCTTTTCTTCTGTTCAAGGTTCTGTCACAACTTCAGCTGAGGACCAGACTTAGTGTCCCATTTGCTTTGTTAACCAATGCCATTCAATGTGAATTTAGCAATGGCTGGCTACTATGTAGCCACACCTGAATCAGAATTCTCAAACCCACTTTTGATTATGAACTGAACAGATTCTGCCCAACATCTCCTCTGCCACTGAATTCCTTGATTACAAGCAAGTTTATTTTAAGCCTTCTTCAGAACTCCTAGTTAATCCCTTAGTTAACTACTTGTAACACTGTTTTTTCTTCTTCTCCAAACTGCTCCCATCCTACAAACAATGACATAGAATCCTTCTCACCAGCTTCCTATGGAATAAAAAGCTTTCTGTGGTGCACAGAGGAGACCTGGAATGGGGACACAAGATCATGCCAAGCAGTCATTCAGAAGTTAGGATATTTCTCCTGCTCTTAAAGGAGAATCCATCTACTACTTATTTACAATAATTCCTCCTTCCATTTGAACAGTACAGGAGCTTACAAGTTCATACACTGTACACAGTCTTTTCCAGCGAGTTGACTCCATCAGCAGCTAGCAGGGTATGTAGCTAACAAGAGTAAAACTGAATTACTGTATCGCAAAATGATGCATGTCTAAAAAGTGTGTCGCCAACATGAAAAGTTTGGAAAGCTCTTATGCAAGGAATGATACCTGAATTTGCTTATTTTCATCTTCTTTCTTCATCCATTTTTCCTTTTGTACTGCCCCTAAGAGTCTGTGTGTTTAATTTTTATTGTAAATTACAAAAACACTCAGGTCTTCATAAATAACATTTGGTATGGGACAAGATACCTTGGATTGGCATGTGCTTACAGCAGTAAGTACCTATGGAATAAAGTGGGGTCTACAGGTTGGTGGGAAGTGCCTGTTTTGCATGTAGAACAATCCACAATCAACGCCTGGCATATCCCACATAAGAAGGGAGAAATTTCAAGTCTCCTCCCAACTCTTTATTCTCCCCTAAGATAACTAGGTCATCATAAGAATCAGCCCTGGGTTGGGTTAATTTATTTCTGCGTAAATGTTGTTTGGGTTATAGCCAAATGATGCCCCTTTACATATGAAAGGCTCTTTGATCCAGCAGAGCCTTCAAGGACTGAAGCTGTTCTAAAGGGTTCTTCAACCTTGCAAAGCAGGCTGGAGGGCTGCAGAGGGGCCAGGAAAAACACAATTTTGCCTTGACCCCTGGAAGGTTCCACTGTATTAAAGTGCCTTCCATCAGGAGAAACACATTGCCTGAATACAGTCCTTTCTATTTGTCCTGCCAGGCACATTTGATAAGAAATGTTTCACAAAAAAAGCAACTACAAAGGGTCAAAACACATTTAAATTCATGTTGACATTTTCTTTTTCTTTCCTATGCATCTCTATGAGAAGCAAGTCCTACTGAGTTCAATGGGGCTTACCATCAATTAAATGGGCATAGGATAGCAGTCTAAATTCCTAACAAGCTCTCAATTTCTGTGTTATGTGGCATCTAAAAAAACTGTACTATTACAACAGCTGAAGCATGTAGACATCACAACTTCCATATACATATTTTTTGTTTAAATGTCACAAAACAAAACAGGCAACGAAATGATTTAAGGAACAAGTACCATTTGCTACTGAAACCATTAAAATACATATTTTTTCAATCGACTGCCAACGAAGTTCAGCTACTTAGCTGAAGGTTTTAATGCAGAAGTAACATGCTATGAAGAATGGAAAATTGTATTTGCAAATGTGCTTGCAAGGAAGTGTTGTTGAGTACGTTAGATGCCTTGGCCTTTACCATCTAAACCCATTTCTAATTACTTTTTGTTTTACATATTAAAAAACCAAGCAGATCTGTTTTTTAAAAAACCCCAAACTCCAAAAAGCATGAAAAAAGTTTATTATAACATTAGATTCTTACCCTACGCATGGCTTCCTCCTCCTCTTGACGCTTTTCATAATGTGCAAAGTCATCAAAGATTGAGGTGGTATGCTTGAAAGTAGCAATTATTTTAAGCACTTGCTTGGCTTTTTCTAGGGGTACTTCTTGAGTGTCCCTCGAGTTGGTAACGGGTTTGTTGTCATTATTTTCCAAGCGAATGTGCCGCAGCTGGTTGTTTGGAACGTCTTTAACAAAGATCCACTTAACATCAAACTTCCCCTTCCACTTATCCTGAGACCAGACTCCAGCATATGCATTGTAGTCCACCACAGACTTCATCTCAGCTACTCCGCAGAAGTGTCCACTGCCATTCACACTGAAAAGTAAATAGAGTGGGCCTTTTCCATTCAGTGAACGGTAGGCAGCATCCAAGCGCTTATTACCATGCTCAGTACTACACCAGATAGAATACTTAATGGAGCGGTGTATATCATCCTCCGAATAGCTTTTGATTATAAACACACGACCGTTCTTCAGATTCCAATCAAAGTCTTTGGGATTATAGTTATTTATGGCCTTTAGTTTCTCCAATACTGGGTGCACTTCTACACCAGAAGGTGAAGAGCTAACTGGTATAACACCTATACCATAGTTTTCATTGCCAGCTCCATTGCTCTGATTGAAGCCTACACCCCTATTGCGAGGAGCCACCCAGCGATTTTGCAGCTGCTGCTGCTGCAGCTGATGAGGCGGAGCCTGTTGCTGAGGTCCTTGTGGCGGCTGAGGCGGAGGCTGCTGCTGAGGCAGTTGGCTTTGCACCATTGGAGGAGGCTGAATTAATGGCTGAGGCTGCTGCATTATAGTCTGAGGAGGCAGTACTGGTTGGGTTGGGGGAGCTTTTACCACAGACCCTTTGTCATCCCAAGTTCCAATATTCATGTTGTGTTTTATAGGGGGAGGTGGTACCGCAGGGCCCCCAATTCCCACATTACCTTTAGGCTTAAGTTTTGGCTGAGGCTTAGCAGGCTTCCTAGCAATGGCAGCCCATGAGGTTGGTTTAGGTGCTGAACTGCTAACCGCAGGCACACTATTTGCTGCAATGCTTGTCATACCTGTACTACTCAGAGCGGAACCAACTGTTTTCGTCACAGCGACTGTCATATCACCGCCAATTTTCAGTCCAGTCATGCCTTGCTCAATGCTGCTAATACCAGGCACCTTGTTCAATGTATCATTGCCAAATCCAGCCTGTCCATCGGCTATTGCTCTACCAAGAGAGCTAGGTGGGTAGCCATAGCTGCTGCTGTAAGCAGAGCTTTGAGTCGATTGTCCCTGAGATCCACTTGTCCCCCATGTTGAGAAATCTGCATTCCCAGGGAAAAAATTAAATCCATGCTGACCAAGGAATGGAGGGGTGTTTCCTAAAGCCCCAGGTTGACTAAAGACACCATCAGGGATGTAGTGGTGTTCACCATTGCTCATCTGTCCGTAAGTTGTCAAGTATGGCATTGGAGGATCTCCTGCTGTGGACCATGCCGCTTCACCCAGAGAGTACGGAAATCCAATGGATGGAGCATAATAACTAGGCATGTATGGGTCTGACATTGGTGGATAGCTATTATTCTGCAGGAAAACATATCAGTGTAAGAATCATTCTATTGCTACATCTACATTATTTGCCTATAAATATGCATTTATGGACATCTGAAGCAAATTTTCGACACAGTTAGAATTTTAAACAGAAAAAAAATTCAAGCAGAGAGATCTAAAAGAGATACCTTTGTTATCTTTAATCTCACATACAAAACCAAAGTAATTACAGCCTACACCGTTTTAATTAATATAACACAATTAAAAGTGCTTTGAGCAATTAAAAAATTCTCTTCCATCTCCAAACAGGAGTGCTTTTCCTGTTTTTTATCAGGGTGTCATTTTATTTCTTTTATTCCTATAAGCAAATTCCTGTCCTATTTCTAGGCCTCTCTCCTATGCTGAACAGCTGATCAAAGATTCAGTACTGACCATGACCATTAGCCCAACATGTATGTGTACCAACATTCCCCTGAGAAACCTGCCTCTGGTGTATAGATAAGGTTCAGTGTATATATTTAACAACTCATCATGTTCCTTGCCAAGCTGTAAATAAGTTCACCCTGCACAGTGAAAAGGAACTTCAAGTACTGATAAACCCTGTCACCTAGCTCACTTGAAACCAGGGGTAGCTAACCTGAGGCCCTCAATATGATTTTGGACTCCCAGCTCCCACCAGTCAAAGTCAGCACGACCAATGGTCAGAGATGATAGTCCAATAACATCTTAAAGGCTATAGCTTAGCTACATTTGTTGTAAAAAATAAAAGAACACCTCTATATGAGCAAACAAGGAAGTTTTTATAAGTGTGAGGGTTCCTTTTGGGCTGCCCATGTGCCACCCATGACTAGCATTTGCAAGAAAGGTAAAAAAAATAAATGCTGATTTATTTGGTCCAGATCCAATTCCTAATTCGCTTAGCTTGCTCTAATTGTTTAATCTTGAATCAATATTTTAATGTTCTGTGTTTGGCATTTTGAGTCTTGTCACTGTTATTTTCCCAATAACAAAAAATAGAAAATGCAATTATCTGCTGTATGTATACATAAAGAATATTAAACTCCAAAGTTTGCATAAACTATGCCACCCTTGGCGTAGCTGGATCCTTCCATTTGCAAAAGCAACCAGTACCCAGCAGAAGCTTTCCAGTGGAGGGAGAGACGTGATTTTTGCCCCTGGAACTGCCACACTTTTCCAGAGAATCAGCCAAACCTCCAAAACAGCTTTTCAGGGAAAGGCAGAGGCAAGGTGAAATCAGCAAAGTCACTTCCCACTACAGAGCAGAACTCGAATTCAAGAATGGATCAAACCCACAAGGTTTTATCAGCTCATTCATCTACAAGTGTGTTTTTCAAAAGGTTGTTTGAGTGCTGGATCAAGTAATGTATGTTCTAGCCTAGCAACTGACTGGCTGCAAGGCCATTCGACACCAAAAGGAACTGGCCCAATAAAAAGCAACACATATTCTTTGCATTTCTTACTTACCATGCAAATTTAGGCATACAAAACCACTATCAATGTATAGAAGGTTGGGCATAAGGATATAAACTGTTTCTCCCATCACAGTGCACACATACAAAATGATAGAAATACCACTTTCTTGCACTTTCTTTCCAAATACCTTGCCCCAAAGCCTCTCAACATGCATCTTCTGCAAGCAAAAATTCCCTGAAATGGAAGAATCCTTGTTGGACTTGAAACTCATGTAAGAATTCAGAAAGGGAGCAGAAAATCAAAAGCTAACCAAAGGCTGAATCATAAGAAAAATGACTGGACTATTAACTCTTTCTCCATCCAATTCCAACTGCTGAAGGAAATGGAATGGGATGTAGCCCTGTAGGCTGCTACAGGAGTAGGGCATGAGATTTGTGTACTGTTCTGTGCACACACAACAGGTATGCTTAATTTAAGATAGATTTAATTAAGCTTAAGTGGATCCCTCTGCTTAAAGTAACTTCGCTCATTTGGAACCTAACTCGTACAAATCCATTTAGCACTGTTTAAGAGATTTACAAATACTATGAAAACTTACAATGGTCTGTTATAAAACCATTTAAACTGTTTTGTGTTACTTGCTTATTATAAAGGAATAACCAACTAAAAACTATACTCACTAGCTTACAAGAAAAGGTGTATTCTTGTAAATACTCACCTGATTTGTCTGGCTACTTAGATATGGCTCAAAATCATCATCATTTACTGCATCCTTTTGATGAATCGAACCGTTTTGCACTGAAACTGAAACATAACTGAAATTAGACATCTTCTAGAAGTCCTATGCCTAACTTTTTAGTTGTTAAAAACACATGATGGAAAAAATGTTTCAAAAACCAGAATATTTCTTTAGCAGGCAGCAACACACTACAAGCATCCTAGAATTCAAAAAACCAATAGCAGCCTATGGATACATTTTGGCTTGCCTGCTGCTGAAAGAGACCATGAAGTGATTGATAATACCCTCATTTATTAGTTTTAGACCCTTAAGTAGTAGCAGATGCCAGGACATTGTCCTGTTTGCCTCTGTGTAGTTCCTTCCTTATTTCAGATGTTGCCATATATCGAGATGTTTAGCTGGTGATATACTGCAATATTGATAACCCAGCCCTACTCTCAACAGAAACAAGGTAATTCATAGGAGTGCACTTTTTGTCTAGTTATATGTATTAAAACTGAAGTTGAAGTTTTATGGATTCATATGCAAGCATAAATATTAGATTTAACTGCTCTGTTCAAATAACTTCAACTAAACACTTTCCCATACCATCTTCTGCAGGTATACTTAGCTGGCATAATTTTCCAATATAAAATATTTGGACACTAAACCATTTTTCCTGACATCCTAAGGGAACATTGTAAATTCAACACCTCAACAGATGGGAAACCTACAGAAAGCAGGGAAACCAACTCTCCATAGTTAAGAACGGAATAGTCTAAAAAGTGCTTAGCTGTTGAAATATCACTTCTAACATAGCTAGAAACAATATAGTATATTTGCAGCAATTGTTCACTTCAAAAATGAAATTTGCAGACACCTTTATTAATAGAGCTCTATGCCGAGTACTCGATACAAAAGTTTTCTACCTGAAAATAGCAAAAATACATGCAAACATTTTTAGTAAGCCAGTTCTAGTTAAATTCAAGCAAATGAAATGAAAAAGCAACACAAACTAGTTCTACAGATTAATCATTCCCTCTCTCTCTCTCTCTCTCTCTCTCTCACACACACACACACACACACACATACATATCTCCTGTTTGTATGTTCCTACTATTCTCTGCAACAGAATTAGAGCACAAGCACAGCTTTCAAGGCAGACATGCACACACAAGCTAGAACTTTGCCTTGGCATGACCTACTTTTCCAATAATGTAACATGAATCTGGTTTTGTTTACCTTGCCAGCAATGGGGTTCTCACCCCACCCCACAGAGCAATTCCTAATACCAAATACAAAGAATGTATTTGCAAAGAGTAATGGTAACAGTTTTTTACATGTGAGCTGACAACCCAGGACTTCTACAGGTGCACTGCAGTAAACCTGCCACACAAACAGTCACAATAAAATCAGGTTTTGTACTTCTTGACAGTAAACAAGACCCAGAGATGTTCTGAGCATTTACAACATAAACTCTGCACTCTAAGTAACTAAGATGGACTCATGAGAACTTAGGTTTCCAATTTCACAATGAAGACACAAAGTCCAGCTGTATTGTGTAGCTCATCCAACCAATCTTAAGGACAAAGCAACTACATATGCATATATATTAGTAAGAATATAGCAGCTTAAAGCTTTTTTCCGGGAGGAAATTATGCCCTGCACACACACAAGGTGGGAAACAGTGCAATAATTTTTGGGGGTTGGGGACGACAAGGACACTTAAAGATCATCAGGATTTCCTAGCATTAAAAAACCCCTTACCTTCGCATCATATGCAAAGTAACTTGTGAAATGTAATTTGTATTCACTGTGTGTTCAGAGCTTTGTGGCGTTTTTAATTTTGCTTAGAAGAAAAACAACCATCTGCCCCATGCATTTCACACAGATTTTTCAAGGAGTCAATGCACCTAATGAAATTTATACTTTGGCTAGTTACGTTGTTATTCATATTTGTATAAAGAACATAGGTGATCTGAAACTAAAGACTGCAGCTGAAAACTAGTATCCAAAACTTTGGATCACTAACTCAATTAAAAATCACGCACACAGCTATGAAGCTGCATAGCATCTGCATTCTGCAGCATCTACACCCAGATAGCTAACATGTTCAGCCATACTTCTAACCGAGCTGCCCTGTTAAGTGTTCTTCTTGGTGCAAGAATTTCTGTTTGCACTTTTTAAGACAGCTATTTCACTTAACTGTAGAGAAAAATCTGGAGAACCATAAAAGACCCAAACTAGACAACAGCAAAACACCAGTTCCCGTGGATGAGATAGTCACACCTAAAAGCAACAGGAGCTATTCCACATCTAAAACCTTTCCTGCCACAAACAAATTTCCATCAATTTCTCTTTCAAGAGTCCATTCTTTCCTGCATCTCCGTCATTCTTCTCCAATAAGGAAAGATGAAGTAGCTTCATCAGATCCTCTGAAAAAAACAGTGCCATTCAAAGCTCAACAACTTTGGCCTCCCCCCCCCCCCAAATGGGTAGATCACTGCCAGTTGTTTTATACTGGGAGTAGATCGTGGTCTAATCTAAACTCCACATTCTTTCCTCATTCACTTCTGTGTTCATTAGAAAAAGTGAAACTTTTGTCCATGCCCAAAACATTCCCTTTAATGCTACTAGATTCTCTGAGCATTTGTCTTTTGGTTTGTGTTTTTGAAAGTGGCACTTTCACATGAAGCAGACAAAGTTATAGAATACCTCAAGAAGGAAGTGAACAGAGAAGACAGTAAGCCAGCAAGCCAGAAATCCATTCACAGCAGATGATGTGCCCCACCCCCACAATTCCTGTTGCAATGATTTAAACATTTTGAAAACACTGATTATATCCCCAAATATATGCAAAATAAGGAAATGTGACATTTTAGTTCATTAGTACAATACATTCCAAATCTGACTGCAGAAGCAAGAGAAATGTGGTGAGGGAGAAAGAAGGGCCTTTACTTTTGTTCAATTGGGGCTCTGCAGCCCTGGGCACAGCAATGGGCTGGATAAGAGTCAATGAAGCTGAATTGTAGCAAGATGGAGATCCTGTAGGTGACTAGTTTCCAAATCCAGAATGTAAGCAGTTTGTCTGTCCTGTATTTGTCTACTGCATTCCATGTGAAGGAGCCAGATCAAAGTATGGGGGTGTTCCTGTACCTATAGTTGTTACTGGAGTCCCATGTGACTACAGCAGCAGGGACCACCTTTTACCAGCTTCAGTCATTACTCCAGTTGTAGCTAATCCTGGCCAGGGACAGCCTGGCTACAGTGACCCATGCATTGGAATAGTGTCAATTATGGTAATGTGCTTTCTGTGGGTCTACCCTCAAAACTGGTCTGGAAGCTGCAGTTAGCACAAAATGTAGTTGCTAAGTTACTGGCCATGAGACTGCAACTCCACCGTTAAAGGAACTGCACTGACTGCCAATCTGCTATCAAGCCGTGTTTCGGGATTTGTTATTAAACAATTTGGAACCAGGTTATCTGAGAGAACGCTTTCCTCTCCAGTGTTTCCCAACCTTGTGCCTCCAGCTGTTTTTGAACTACAACTCCCATCATCCCTGACTAGCAAGACCAGTGGCAAGGGATGATGGGAATTGTAGTCCAAAAACAGCTGGAGGCACAAGGTTGGGAAACACATGCCCTGCCAGTAAGAACATCTGCAGAGGCCCTTCTGATTGTGCCACACCCTGCAAATAGCATTAACCGGGACAAGGGCCTTTTCTGTGACAGAGTCCACACTCTGGAATAGTCGTCCCCCCCCCCAAAAAAAAATAAGAAATGTGCCAATAGTGGTGCAATTCCACTTCTTTTTTGTTTGTTTTATATAGCTTTTGGTGGATACGGATTCCAGCGGCTATGGAATTTTAAGAATGTTTATTGTCTGATTATTTTCATTTTCTTTGTATTACATTTTATGGTATTGCTGCATTGAGTTGCCCGCATAACAGGTGGTATTTAAATATCTAAATAAACAGATGCAGAAAAACTCAAAACCTTCTCCAGTATCTCATCAGAGAAAAGACAGCCATTTCTCCTGTGACTAAAGTGATAGCATGTTTGAAAGGAGACCAACCCTGTATTGGAAAAGAGGGAGTCACATACTAGCAATTCTCCTCAAATAGTAAAATGTGCTTTAAAAGGAATTATGAACTCAGAAACAGTTATCAGCCAGTATAGTGAAGTTCTGTATGTATTAAGGTACAAACAATTTATGCTGCAAAATAAATTTGTGTCCTTCTCTAAATGAATTATTGAATTGAAAGTTGAATCTTAATAATTAAATCATTTGATTTACAGGAAAACACATGCTATATCCACAGTTACCAACGGTGTATTTCAAGTACAGTTTTATGTTTCATGTCTCTCTTCTTTGGAACGGGGAATACACCACTAAACCGAAGGTGTCACTACCAGCAAATCAATGTCTTATTCAGTGACATATGTACAGCTAAGACTGCAATTCTATGCACACTCAAATGGGAATAATAAATTTGTCAGTTTATAAAAAATATTTGCACCTTATTTTGCTGTATAAAGCTTAGTAATATTTTGCCATTACCACAGTGCCAGTGAGCTTCATAGATCAGCAGGGATTTCAACCAGAGTTTCAGACATTTAAGTCCAATGCTCTAGCTGCACAGACTTTCAATATGTTCCTTAGTAAGATTATGAATTCTCATTCACTGAAGAGTTTAAAAAAAGCAGGGGAAAACAGCTACTGGAGATACCTTAGGAATAGTATGGCTATGACAAGGCACAAGTGAAAATGCTTAATCTTTAGCACAAGGCTCTTCTCATCTATACGTGCCTAAACCATTGGATCTTTTTTTTTCTTCTTTTTTTTCTTTCTTTTTTTTTTGGATGCTGGCGGCTGACATGTTGCCCTGAGAAACCCCAACAAAAGAAATAAGGTGAGTAACAATCAGGACAGGCATCTCAATTATGGGCACTCCGGTTATAGAATAGCCTACTAAGGCTACTTAAGACCCAGGGTAAAGATCAGACCTTTTAAATAACTTGTGTAATCTGGGCTTTTTTAAAACCAATGCTTTTAACTTTGGCGTTGTGGTGAGTTTTGTTTTCTTGTATTTATTATGCTTTTGATGTTATGCCTTATTTTGTATTTAAGTTGTTTTTATCTTTACAATAAGTCCTGAGAACTCTGTTATGGATCAGCATACAAAAGTCATTAATATTAAAGACCACTAAACCAAACAGGAGTTGATTCTAAGTAAATATGCATACCTAAAATACAAGCCTTCAAGCACAGGATGGGGGAGAAGAGAACCAGAGTAGGGGAGTAGCTGAACTGCTGGTTAGAGATCTTTCCTGCCGAGACAAGATTCAAACTAGCTTCTCTTGTTGACATTAACGTGATATAATGGAAACAAAAAAAACTTTACATTGATTGACAAAGCAGATTTGGATCACATCTGGGGGATTTAAAGGGGAATTCCCTTTTGCAATTGGAAATTCATTCGTACGATGTTGGCAAGTGAACCTATCCACTGGGAAGTTCACTTCTTTGCTTGTCTTTACTCTATGGAAAACTAAGTACACTAAAGTATCCCAATGAAGATGTGATGTAAAGTGCACATGTGAAACAGCTAAAATTTTAGGAGTTCAATAACTGAACAGTTCTCAATATTTGAGAAATACTGATCCTATGGATACCAAACAATTTCACCCTTTGTTAAGCTATGACTAGGTAACTGCCTATGACCATATAATGTCTAGCAAGCTTTATCTCTCACTTCTAACAAAATGGAGTCCTTAACTCTCCTATGTATATATTTTAGCAGTATGGCTATATGCAGATGTTCACTTTTTTAATGAGCTGCCAAAAGCTTGGGATAAAGAATACACTAAAGATTAAAGCATACCATGATGCTATCCTGTATGCAGAGATAAATGACATGCTACATTCACTTTTTGTTTCATTTGCCAGTATGTCTCACAGTTTAAGGACTCAAAATTCTCATGCACATATGCTCACCACTCATCATCAGTTTAGCACACTTGCTACTAGGCTAAATGAAGAACCATTCCTACAATACCATGCACATAAGCACAATTATTAACCCTTCATATACAGAAACATTTTTAATGGTTTTTCACTACCTTTTTGTTCTGGCAGGTATTTAACTGTCTTCTAGTTTTATGGTCTTCTTATAAGGTCATAAAGTGCACTGTTGCTTATCTGCTTTTATTGGAATTTTAATGGCTTTACGTTTTGCTTTCCGGATTAATTTTTAGCTGATTTTAATAGGCTGTACTACTCAGAGTATGATTCATATATGACTCTATACATTTGGCTGAGTATAAAGCATTCTGACAGCACAATTCTATCTACACATGACTACTCAGATGTCCCACTGAGTTCAACATAAGTGGGAATAGACTGGTGCCTGAATTACTCTATATAATGGGAGGTATTCAGCTAAATAGTTGATTGAGCAGAAGAGGAATTCCCCTGCTCCCCCCCGCAATCTGATTTGAGGGTTCCTCAGAAATATGGGGACAACACAGGAGAAGTCCTGATATGCAAATGGAAGCTGTTGCAGAATCAATATATTAAGAATGATGTAACACACGAAAATGTTGGGAAAATCCACTTTATAAGTGAAAAAAATGATTCACTGTCTGCTGCAGTCTCATGACTACTACTACTCCAGTATAAACTGTCAGTTGAATGCATCTGCTACACTTAACTGTCTACTACAGAGAAATCATTAAATTACTCTTTTCATGTCAGTGAACCTAACACAGAAGAATCAACTTACCTTTATTTCCCTGTCCTTTAGGTCTCTGTTAGTGATAAAACAAGAAAAACAAACAAACAAAAATTAGAGGAACCGAACATTAAAGTTATCACAAAGCTCAAATAATTTTGGTGATTTTAAGATACCCCAAGATGGTAAAATACAAGCCATTTTATTAAAAAGAAAGAACTATGACTTAGTGCTGCAAGCCTGATGCATTCTAAATTCTGTTTATTGGGATTACTGGTAGACTCCCAATATTACTGTACACATTAAGATACCTAACTACAGTTTACCATTCAGAAACAAAATGCAACAGTCATCCAATATTTATGTGTGGCAGTATAAAAAGTATAATCAGATGACTTTGTAGAAGCTAAACACTTCACTGTACTATGCCCACTTTTATTTCTTAAAGCTATGCATGTATTGCTATTATCAAATCAGTTATAAAAAGGTGCTTGTAAAATGCAAAAAAAAAAAAAATGCAACAAGGGCCAATTAGCATGTTCTGGTGAGGTACAGGCCACTCCCATTTTAGGCGCAACTGATATGTGCATGATCGTGCACATGTACCGAACCCGGAAACGTTATAAAGATGTCATTGAAATGTCACTAAATGGGTAGAATGGGTGTTTGTAGACTTTTTCAATTAGTTTCTGATTTCACACAAATGCGTAATGACCTGGAACGCAACCCCCACACAAATGGGGTGTTGCCTGTACTGTTGCATGCCCCTAGTCCTGTACCTTAAGAATGCTACACTTCGATGCTGAATAAAATCAGAACTAGCCATATTGCGGACTATACTATTTATTACATACCATGTTAAAATATTTTTACTTCATTAAGTGCATTTCCCTGCCCCCAAATAAAGCTCCCATTACAAACAATTCCTGTTTCCACATAGACTTTATGACTCTGACCCTGCAATGACTTTTGCAAATTACTCAATCCTGACAGAATGAAGAAAAACCTGTACTAGCTGAAGAGCCAATACTAAAAGCAAGTATTTTCAAAAGTGACATTCCAGGTTTAAAAATGAAACTTGTGCAGACATGGATTCTGGTTTGCAAGATTTCTCCCCCAAGTTAACGTTCACCAGAGACCTCCATTATCTGCTCTCAGCTGCAAAAATAATGTTTACACGGGGAGGGGGGACCCAGAAGGGTGAGACTGAGAGGATCAAGACTAGAAAAACAACCATGGGGAGAATTGGTGAAAGAATTGGGAGGGGGGGATAAGGAGATCAGAAAAGGGTGAAAGAAAGAAAAAGTGTACATGGAATAGCTGCATGAAAACAAAATATGCAGATACGGAAACACGCATGAAAACATGCCATCAATAAATGAAACGCAAAGAAACATATAACCGCAAGAACGAGATACGAGAGGCGGCTGCACTACGAAGGAGGTTTAACGGTGGCCGTAAGGATCCCTCCAAGTCCACTTGCGAGGGAAAACCGGAGGCGGCCCAGGAAAGCGGGCAGAGGGCGAAGCTGGCGCGGAAAGCGAAGGCGCCCCCGGAGAGGGAAAGGCCTGCTCGTGAAGAGAAGCAACGGGTTCGCCTCACGGCCTCCGCGGGGAGGCCCCAGGCCGAGCGGCCTCCAGGCCTGCGGAGGGGGCGGGCCTGGGAACAGGGGAGGAGCCGCACGGCCTCGGATGTAGCGGGCGCGGATCCCCGCTATGCCCAGAGGAAGGAGGGCGGGACGGGGTGAGGAAGGGGAGGCCGAGCCATCCTCCCGGCCAGGCCAGGCCGGGCGGAGACCGTACCTGGTCGACGCTGGTGGCTGACATTCTTCACGGGGAGCCGCAATCCCCTCACCCCGCTCCGCTTGGGCCTCCTCCTCCTCCTCCCGCTCTTCCTCAATTCCCCGCCGCCGCCGCCTTTTCCGCCGCTCTCCCCGCCGCCGCCGCCTGACTGTCTCCGCAGCCCGGGCACTTCTCGTCTGCTCGGCGCCTCCGAAAGCAACCAGCTGGACACAGCTCAGCTTCCCTCCCCTGCTCCGGGCTCCGCTTTCCCACAATGGCGGACGCGCTCCGGATCCTACTTCCGCTCCGCGGCGCCCTGACCTTCCGCTCTCCCCCCTCCCTCTACCACTGACGACATTGCAGCCGACTTTTCCCTTTCCGTCCCCGACTCCTATCACGTGGTTCCGAAGACGAGGGCGGGGGAAACGGCCGTCCGTCGGCGCGCGCGCGCGTCTTAAATGTCCCGTATGTTAACAGCCCGAGCAAACAGCGACAGCGCGCTTGCGCGGCATTTGTAGAATTGCGGAGGTGTGTGGGGGGGGGGTGGATTGGAGGAAGAGGAGGAGGAAGTGACGTTTTAACGTTCTCAGCGGTCGGGTGTAGAGCTGTGTGGGAGCCTCGGAGAGGAAGGTGCGCGCGAGTCTTCGGAGGGAGGCTGCTCGGGAAAGTGCGGCCGTGTGGATTTCTGCAGCGTCGTCCGTTTCTGTGGTGGGTTTAAGAAAGGATTTGTTCCCCTTTTGGGGCCTCTGGGTAGCGGGAGCGGCCGCTAGAGGTTGTTCTGAGGTAGTTTCGTCCCGTACAGAGGAGGGTCGGCGTTTCTCGAAAGACTGCTATTATACGCCGGATGTTCGTGACAGGTAGGCCCTGGCTGTCGTTCTTCAGAAAGGCCGCTCCTCGGCAAGGCCTTTCCCTTCAGTGGGGCTGCTTTGAAGGCTGAGGGTTCCGTGGGGCTGGGGCGGGAGGGAGGCGATCCCTCAGAATCGAAACCGTAACGAATATATGTGGGTGTGGTTCGAGCTCTGCGCAAGGGGACAGCGATGGGAGGCTTTTTGGAATCGTGGTGGTCTAGGCAGGGAACAGGAAGTGCGCACAATCTCGTTCCTTGGCGCGCCTAAGGGCTGCTCTCGGGTAAAGACTCGCCGCTCCGAGGAGCCCCAGCCTCTCCCCCCCTCCTCCCCCCCCCGCGACCTTCGAACTGTGAACGGAGACGGCCCTGGAAGGTTTGTACCAACAATTCACATCTCCCCAGCTCAAAGGTTGCAAGCAGGCCTCTGGATAGTTGCTGACCAAGCCTAACATCGGAGTTGCCAGCCTGTCTGTCAGGACCTCTTCCCGACAAAGAAGTGTGGTGCTCCCCCCACCCCCACCCGGCTTCCCCTGGGTTCAGCTGCCAAACCAGCCTCTAGCCTTTCTCCTAGCTTGGAGCTGGGGAAGTGGCAGTGAGTGCCTGATGTTCTAGTCCCTATAATGGAGATAAGGCATTTATTAGCTTGATTATGAGATTGTATGTAACCCTTTTTAGTATAGCCCACCCAAAGTGACACACAACAGGCTTGACTCAGTAGATGTAATAATAATAATAATTTTTATTTATACCCGACCCTCCCCAGCCAAGGCCGGGCTCAGGGCAGCTAACAAGCAATAATAAAAACAAGTTGAATGAATACAACTTAAAAACAAGATTAAAATACAACATTAAAAATATTAAAATGCAGCCTCATCACAGGAGGAGAAAGAAAAAAGAAAGGGGGAGGGAATCAAATTGGCTCCAAGCCAAAGGCCAGGCGGAACAACTCTGTCTTACAGGCCCTGCGGAAAGAAATCAGATCCTGCAGGGCCCTGGTCTCATGCGGCAGAGCGTTCCACCAGGCCGGAGCCAGTGTTGAAAAGGCCCTGGCTCTGGTTGAAGCTAATCTAACTTCCTTAGGGCCCGGGACCACTAGGTTGTTGCTATTTATGGACCTTGAGGCTCTCCATGGGGCATACCGGGAGAGATGTACACTGTGTTATGTACCAAATGGTATCAAAAATCCTCGGGTGGAGTTTCCTTGCAGATAATCTGGTTTTACTGAATTCCTGGAGGTGACGTGGTTAATATATTTAATAGACAGATGTTGAACTTCCCGTCTTTCTGATGAGCTCTATCCAGTGTTAGAAACTAAGGTGTATAAGCTAATCACCAAATGGCACTGTAAACTTGGGTTACGGTCACCACAACAGAATGTCTAGGTGCCATTTTGCCCTAGTGGGGTTTACTATTATTATTAATTTCATTTATATACAGCTTTATATTTTAAAGAAAAATCTCAAAGCTGTTTACAACACATTAAAACCTCAAATAAAAATCCAGAATAAACAAATTCAAGCTTCAAGGAAAATATTTCAAATCCTTCTCTAAGTGACATTTGGCTTTCCCCATGTTTGTTAATCTACTTAATTTATAGCTGCCCAATAGCAGAAGTACTCTAGCAAGCCAGTGAGGTGTAGTGGTTAGAGATCAGGGTTAAAATCTCCACTCAGTCATGAAGCTCACTGAGTGACATTGGAGTCAGTCACAGCCTCTTAACCTACCTCACAGGGTTATTGTAAGGATTAACTGGGGAGGGGGTGAAGTGTGTACTATTTGGAGAAAAAGCTGGGATATAAATGCAGTGAATAAGCTCTTCAGTTGCCAACGTAGCATTATGTTTCAAGTCCATTTCCTATTTCCCCTAAAATATAATTCCTGTTTTTTACTGCTGGCACAACCTGGATCGACATCTTAGTTGAGCTATCCACTATGCCTAATCTCTGTTTGGTCAGCCACTGTCAACTCAAACCTCAATAGCATATATACAATGTTAGGGTGTTTTGCCTCAACATGCATCACTTTACCCTTGTTAACACTGAATCAGATTTACCATTTTTACTGCTCATTCCCCCAGTTTGGAGAGGTCCTTTTGGAGCACCTCACAGCCTCTTTTAGTTAAAAATTACCCAGAACAACTTGATGTCCTCAGCAAACTTTGCTAACTCATCCCCAGGAAGGGCTAGAAAGATGCTCTGTCTCATGCTTCAGACTTGGGTTCAAAAATCAGACAGCACACATATAGTAAATCTCACTGTCACAAATAAGCAGGAATGGTTTTCTTATCTATTTCAAATATAAGAATATTTATTCTACTTGCACTCCTCTCTCCATACTAAATATGCCACCAGATACGCAAAATAAAACTTCAGAATGGGCAGGTACACATAAAGGGAACACCCCCCAACAACCCCCCCCCCCAATTTCCAGTCTGTTCTCTCCAACCCCAGGCTCAACCTGCATTCCTAGGGCAAAAACAGCAATGATGCAGCAGAAACCAAATAAAGGGGGCAAACCTTTATTCTTCCAATCAAGCCAGCAAAAATAAGAGAAAACATGAAAGGCAAAATAAGAAAAGGGGCACTGCTTAAGTACTAGAGCCATTTCACTTTTGAGAAGCAAGATCATCATTAGAAGCCCCTTAAATAATCAGTCAGCACAGGAAAAATCCATCGCAGGTTGGGTTTGTTTGCAAACCACAACATGTCCCGTGCCCACAAGAGAGAAGCAATCCATGTAATGGTATGAAAAAGCTTCTTCTCAGTTTGCTTACCTAAGCTCTCCTGCCCAGCCAGAGGAGATTTCAGTTGCAAACCACGTGACTGTCACAAGGGGGCGCTCCTGAGTAGCAGAAAGCATCTGGCCAGCCTGGGCAAAATGGTTGGTTCCAAAAAGGTTATAGCATGTAGACATTTATGCTGGGCCTGATCTGAGCTTGGAACATGTCAACTACTTGTGCAACTAATTTTTGTGCTGCATTGCCATCTTTTGGCTTTATGTTTTAACTCTTTGTACATTTTCTGTTCAAAAAATGACATACATTTCTGCTTCATATGGATCAGTAGCCATTGCTTGTGCCTGGGATTTTGCAAGTGCTCTAGCCATATTAATATCAGCAGCCTAGACATTTGTTAGTTGGGAATTTTCAGGGAACCTTTCCTTTAAACTTGCCCTCTGACAAGCTAAACACAATATTGTCTCTAAGGATGAGTTCTTGGGCAGTTCAAAATGCAGTCTCCTGCTGCTTGTCTTAACTCTTTATAATATTCCTTATCCCTCATCAAACCTGAGCTGCTAAGATTGATACCTCTCAAAATCTGAATGTTTTATTGATTCACTATTCAGTGCTTTTAAAGGCATTTGCAAGGGTTTTATTTGCAGTATCTGCATAGATATATATTTTCCAGTGCCCTATTGCTAATAATAGATTGTAGGCAATTTTAATTATTTAAAGCTGAGGCCTTGGTGATACTTAGGTAGACTTGATGCTTATTTGTACATGGAAAGGGAATGCATACTGACTTAGTTCAGTTCTGAATCTGTTCTCTGAGCCAGGAATTGGGGCAGAGACACCAAGAACCATCAACCTCCATTCCAGCTGCAGCACAGCCCAGTTGACTAAGGGACAGTTGAACAATGTGAGAAAACCATACTTAGGAATAGAGCATTTGTTTTTTTTAAAAAAGTACATTCACATACCACAATGTGGGTGGGTACAGTCTTGTGTTTTGTGACTAGTCACTTGGAAATATGTATATGGGCAATCTATGTCATGTGTCAAGATTTATCATGCATTTCTTTTGTTCCTAGAATACTAGTTTAATTGGGAGTTTGGCCTCTTCTGCCTCTATGTACCATGAGCCCTACTGATGCCAAGCGTAGTGCCAAGCGCAAGAAGAATAAGAAGGGCAGTGGCCTTGGCTTAGCAAGTCTCTCTGGTGCCCTGGAGATCAAGCCTGCAGGGCCTGCTGCTTCAACCCCTGCTTCTCCCTCTTCATCCCCATCAACTTCCTTTGTGGCCTCCTTGCAAATGGCTGCTGCTGCAGCAACAGTTTCTAGCACCGGAAATGATGTAGCAGCCACTCCTGTGATTTCCAGTGAAAGGATGGGGAAGACCGAGGTGCCCAAAAAGCGTTGTGGAGGGACAATTAATTCCAGACAAACACGCAAGCAAAGTAGAATGGCTGCTTCAGCTGCTGAAGCAGCTTCACAGGTCGCTTCACAGGCAGAGCCAATTGACCTCGAAGAAGGTGCTTGTGAAGAAGTCGTAGACCTTACTTGTGAATCTTCAGAACCAGTAGTCGTTGATCTGACACACAATGATTCTGTTGTGATAGTTGAAGAAAATGTTCGACGAAGAAATCAAGAGTTAAGAAGGCAACAACTGCCTGACAGCTGTGTACTAAGTAGTGATGATGACGACGCAAGAGATAATGATGTGGTGCTGACCGGTACATTGCCCAGAGAATTGGAATTGCTTGATGATGGAATTTCAAATTCACGGCGTTCAGGTACCGTGAGTTGTCCAATTTGCATGGATGGCTACTCTGAAATTGTGCAGAGTGGGCGGCTCATTGTATCAACAAAGTGTGGTCATGTCTTTTGTAGTCAGTGCCTCCGTGATTCGCTAAGAAATGCTAATTCTTGCCCAACTTGTCGGAAGAAGCTTGGTTACAAACAATATCATCCAATTTATATATGAAGCTTTAAATTCTTCTCTGAAGAATCTAACTTGAACTTCTGTGGATCCTGCATAAACTTATACCTCTGCAAACAAAGGGTTATAGATCACATATGTGCCCACTTGTGAAGTTGATTTGTGACCTTTTCTAGTTGGCCTTTTTATTGGCCAGTCCTACACATGGGTTTTGTTTTGTTTTGATATTCGTACCAACACATTTGCTGAAGGACAGTGTGTGAGAAGCAGCTAGTGTTGCTGTGTTACTTTCAAAGAACTTGAATGAAACCTTTGCAAAATGTATTGACCACTTTGGGGGACAGTGTGAATGCATTTTGTTCAGGACTTTGGAGTCATTATGATCATGATAGTACAAGTAAAAGTGGCAAACGACTACCAAACCTGCAACTGTTGTGCTGTTCACTCTTTAAGAATTGATACCAAATGTTATCTGTTTACCCATGATGAGCCTGCTTTTGTGGAAACTTCAGAATTTCATATGGGACCTGACTTTATAATCATACTGCAACACACTTGCAATATCAGATGTGTAAATACTGTATTTGGATGCCTTTTTTAATCAATGCAGAAGACAAAGACTATCTGTAAGAAATACCTGGCTGTTACAGCCATACCTATAAGCAAATCTTGTATGTGCACACCTTATAACTGGAGGGGGGGGAGGTGTGGTTACTTATCTTGGCCGTGTTAGATACTCATGATATAATGCTAAATGCTTTATATAAAACAAAACACAAAAAAAACCTTAATGTACTAATTAGCTAACATTTTAAGAATCTTCTGTTGCGGATATGCTTAATTATAAGTGATTCAATCATCAGTATTTTGAAAACTGTCACATCATGGCCTGCTTGCCATTTGACAGTATTCAGAATGCTGTGCAGCTTTCTCAGATCTGGTACCCACCAGATGTTTTGGACTGCAACTCCCATCATCCCCAGTTAGCACAGTTGTTGTGGCTGGGACTGATGGAAATAGTAGTCTGAAGCATCTGAAGGGCACTAGGTAGGGGACAGCTGATGCTATATGGAATTTAGTTACTTTACTAAGTTCAGAACTAAGCATTTTCTGATGACTTTCTATTTTCATGTGTGAAGCCGTGGTATATTAGCTTCATGGGATTTCTATATCGCTGATAGATAAGTTTCTCATATTCATTACAGTGCAGCTTGAAGTCTGTCCGCAAATCCATTTTCTGAGCTTCAGATTATTTCTTCTGTAAGGGAAGCACTGGAAATTGCCCCCACCCCAAAAAACAACAAAAACCCAGTACCTCCATCAGCAGGGAGAAAAGAGCTGTGCAAGCTGCACAAACACAGGCTCTGTCAGGAACATACTGAAAAAAACAGGAAAGATGGGTCCTTACCTACACTAATATGCAATAAGTCCATTAAAGTATACAAAATGTAATAGTATAAAATCAGAAGTATACAAATACTAGCAAGCATTTAAAATAGAATATTTGCTCATTGTTGGAGCTGTATAGAAAATTTTAGATGCCTTCTAACCTCCTGGGTTATGATAGAAAAACTAAGTTCATGTTCAGAAGTTTAAATATGCAGAAAAATGTACAGTTAAAGGGTCACGATTTTTAGCTTCCACTGATATAGGTATCCTTCAGAGGTTCTGGCCTCATCATAGGTGCTTTAGGCATATGGCTCAGGGCTGCATCTAAATGACCAAACCATGTGATTATGCTACCAGTGTAGCTGAGCACTTTAGATGCAGCATGTGGTGCTTTCAGATTTGCAGCTCCTGCACCACTGAGAATTTTTAAGGGCCACAATAATTGTATAATGGAGTTTGAGAAATGTTTCATGTAATATCTTTCACCAGCTTAGCAAAATATATCTCACATATTGGGGATGCTTTGGTTCTTCATAATTCAAAACTGAATAATTTCTTAAAAGTTCAAGTTGGTAACTGGTAAAAGCCATTTCAGTAGGCATCTAGAAATGTATCAATTCAAACATCAGCCATTAAATCTTAATACTGTACACTTTAAAATCCATGGCAAAATAGCTATACATCTTGTCAAAGGCAAGACTTGGGAATTTTAAGGAAGTAAGGATGCAGTTCTACAGAGAGTTACTTGTAAGTTCCATAGAACTGAATGAGGCTTTTCATCTAATGTGTTGGATTGGGCTGTACATCAGGAGTTATAAATGATTTAATAAACCTATTTTCTAGTCTTAAGAGGGTGTGCAGTTCTATTCATGCTTTAGTAGTATTGTTTCATATGGTATACCTCTACCTGAATATTTGATTAACAAAAAAGAGTGCTAAGTTTGAATGTTCTATCTACAGAGCACACAGTTTGTAGCACTAACTTCAAATTTAGCACACTGTAGCTGCACCTTCCTGTGGCTTTAAACTATAGTTTAATGTTACCTGAATAAGCCTTGGGCTCATCAATTGCTCCTTCCCCTTGTCTATGTGACAGTGAGGATGCTTTCACTTTCATTTTTAATTAGCAACAGTTCAGAATTATGTCCAAACATAGGAAAATGTTTCGTTTTCACTGTACAGTGGAACCTCGGTTGTAGAAAGTAATTTGTCCTGGAAGACTGTTTGACTTCCAAAACATTCAACAACCAAGGTGCAATTGCTGGTTGGCAAAATCTACTGAAAAAAATGAGAAACTCGCCTCGGAGGCACGTTTGAAAACAGAAGCATTTACTTCTGGGTTGTCAGCGTTTGAAAGCCGAAACGTTCAACTTCCAAAGTGTTTGACAACTGAGGTTCCACTGTACTATACTAAAACAACCCAAGTTCCACCACAAAGTTGAATTGTTTCATTAATCCATAGTTGAGATTACCCAGAGTTTTGTGTTTGGACATAATGCTAGCACAGTGGTTGATTATAACAGAACTGACATCATGCGTTACCCTCTTCACTGACAGAGTGAGGTAGGGAGCACATAAGCCTGAGACATGTGCATGTAACACTGAATCATAGTTCAGTGTTGTGTCTGAACAAGGCCATTCTGTCTGCATTGTCAAAAGCCATTTTGGTTTCAGGGCAAGTGATACTAGCTTAAGATGCATGGATTTAAGAACAAATAGTTAATTCTCTGTTGCCTCTCTTTTTCCATTTGTAAATTTGTATATTTTTTTTCTTATTTAAATGTATTCCTGTGTGTATATCAGCTTTGCTTTTTGGAATCTTAATTTGGCAAATAAAATCTAGGCAAATAAATTTTAACTGCAGATGAAAATAAAGGTTTTTTTCTTCCTCTAAATTGGCAGGGGGAGAAACTTGGATGCTTAAAGGTATAGCTGTTGAAGAACACAAGCACAACTTGCCTCTTACTTTGCACAATACATGCTGGATTATATCCAATGCAATGTTGTGCAAGGTAAATGGGCAGGAGTTGGAAATATTGGGCAAAAGTTCCTAGCCCCACATTTTAGGCTTTGCCAGAGTGTATTCTGTCTCAGGAAAGCTTTGTCCTGAATTGGATACAACCTAGTATCTGGAATTGGCCATGGAAAAATCTGGAGTACTGTTCCTTGGGCTATGGGAGGTGACACTTAAGTTACACATTTATCTACCAACTGAGAATAATCTTTCATGCATCTGATGAAGTGGGCTGTGGTCTATAAAAGCTTATGTTGTGATAAATCTGTTCACCTTTAAGGTGCCACAAGACTTTTTGTTATATGTTGGCTTCCATACTCAATTGCAAATTCTTATTTAAAATGTAAGAGGAAAATAAGAATTCCTGTGACCCATGCGGGTGGGATAAATAAAAGAATTGGTTGGGTGCCTAGATTCAAAACATGGGGCTAAACTCGCTGTCCAGCAGGAGAGAGCCCCCCAAGAACAGAGTTTAAATTCACAAAAGTCAAGCAGCAGTATAGCATTAGGAATATAAGTTGTTAGACCCTCTGTACCCCTCTTGCAATAAATAGACCACACACAGTTAAGTAAGTTTAAAAATACTTTACTTACAAAATGTTCCAAAGATCACATTCATGTATTTGTCCAAGCAGCTGCAGAGAGAGCACAGGCAGAATACTCCTGGGTAGAAAATACAGAAAGATAGTTTCAAACATGCTTTAAGATCGGCGCTTGCCAGTTATGTGGTGTAGCGAGAGAACAAGAAGAGTACGCTTCGCTTCCTTTCTCATCAGAGAAGAGGGTGTGTGACCTAGCTGAGCCTAGGAATCAACCCTGTTGTCTTCGCCCCTTCATACACTAACTAGCACTTGGACATAGTTCTGTGTGACTGCAATTTCCCACACGAAAAACAACAAAAACTATGTCAGGTTGGATAGTGGGTTTATTGGTGGCTTAATACTGAGCAGCTTGGAGAAAGGAGGAATACACATAGAGTGGGTTACATCTAATGCTGTGCCAGTGGGGTTCTGCTGATTCAACAAGACTTCTATTTCTTCGGTGCATGCACACACATGCTGCCAAGTGTGCTGAACAGGTTCTCCCAACCCTCTGGAGCTGACAGAGTGCACATGGTGGGGATTGGCAGGGAAAGAAAGCTCTCTTGTGCACACAAATCCATTGTGCCTGTGGAGCTGCAGCTTTCGAAGGGGGGAAAAATCAGTAATAGAAGAAAGTTGTAAAAAGCTATGCTTGGTTTTTTATTAGGGGCATGTACTGATCCTCTTCGAAATGTTTATTTAAACTGAGGGTGTCTTCCTTGGATCTAGTAAAAGGTATTGGACTTGAAAACCAGCAGCTAATTGATAGCTTTAATTAAGCTCCACTTTTTTTTTTCTTATAATAAATTTTTATTGATTTTCCAAACACATAATAAAAACAAACAATACACAAAACAAAAACATACAAACATATAAACATGTATAATTTCATAATCTTATTTTCATACACCTTACTTCCCGGACTTCCCCATACCTCCCCTTTTCTGCATCCTTGTTTTACATTTCTTCAGGAACTCCTCCAATTAATTAATTATTTAAATCACTTTCATTAGATTCTTTTTTCTTTAACTTATTGATTACAGCTGCAATTCTCTATTTCTTAGTTCCTTAACATCTTAACACTCCTCAATTTTACAGCAATTTTTAAGATATATTTTAAATTTCTTCCAGTCTTCTTCCACTGTCTCTTTCCCCTGGTCACGGATTCTGCCGGTCATCTCTGCCAGTCCCATATAGTCAATCACCTTCAATTAAGCTCCACTTTTATCTCTATAAAGAGTTCTCCAAACCAGGATGAATTTAATAGTTTATGAATGAGATCAAACTTCAGAATTTTCTGAAGTAAAAAGAATTCAAAGTGTTGCTTATTCAATGCCTGAGTTACACATTTACACTTAATATGGAGAAGAGAGTGAACTTACATTCCATGGAAGTACCTCAACTGCTGTCTGAGGATGAAGCATAAAAAACTACTCATTTAAGTGCTGCCTTAGAAAGGAGGATTTCATTTGAAGTATAAGCTGCTTCAGATCTGGTCTCCTTTGTTAACAAGTTTTATTATGGTCAATAAACTTTGGCCAGTTTTATGTAATCTTGATCTGTCCACTGCATTGCATCTCATTTTCTTTTGTGCTTTCTTTAAGAATGATCTGTTTGAGAAAGCATAAATTGACAGAATAATTCATGCCAGAACCAAGCTCTCTGTAATGTTTCTGTCATGTGCACAGGTCCACAGTTCTCTCTGAAAGAATGCTTTATATCATTGTTCATGAACAGTTTATCTCTCATTTTGTCCCTCATAACAAGGTCACTCAAAGCATTTAGTGCAGCTCCTCCTCCCCAGATTCACAACACAGATAACTCTGCTGGTTCCCGGAATGTTTTGGCAAATGGCAGAACTGCATGCAGCATGCCTCCAAAAAGGGTGTGTGTCTGTTTTCTTTTTGTTAACTATTAGCATTGTTTGGTTTCTGCATTTTGAATTAAAAGCATGGAGGAACTGGCATCTAAGAATTGTGATGATTGGCTCTCAGTCGGCTTCAATCCTTCACTCATTTAGAGCAGGCAAGGCCCACTCTAGTGGGTGTGGTCACCCTGTACTCCCAACAAGAACACACTTGCATGTACATGCATACACAAATACGGGCACATGTGTAGTTCAGCTGAGAATGGGAGCTGTCATCTCCCTGATCAAAAGATTATCAGTCTGATAGGAGACAATTCGCATCTCCATTACTGGGCTGGACTGGGTTGAGGAGTAGTTTAAACTTACATTTCCTGCCCTGTTCTAGTTTTGTTTTGTTTTTGGTGCAACCACAAAAAATTGAGGGTGAGGGGCATAAAAAATTGCTTGGAGAGCCACATCTAGCCCTTGGTCTGGCAGCAATCTTGCACTTCAGTAACTCATAGGTATTGCTTCCTTGACTTCTAATGACATCACTTAGTCAATAATTAAAAGATACTCAAATATTTATAGAGCCATTTTTTCCCCACAAGGCTGGTGTCTGATCAAAAGGACAAGTAAGTAAGATCTACCTAAAAATTCTAGAGATTGTGGAGTGGAATGTTGCAATCTTAGTTAATGATCAGCTTGGTTTTCAGATTTGGCTTGTTTATGAAGAAAATTTAGTTTAACCATTTTTGGAAGCTGTGATACCAAAAAGGCTATTGAGACTTATAAACAAATAACAGCTCTAAAACCAAAAGGTTATAGCAAAACCATTAATGTTAGATTTCAAGGCAGGCTGTTTGAAGTAGGCTCTTCACTTTTGAAAAATTGTAGTGACCTTCCTTTACCTTACAGAATCAGTGCTACATAGATGTAGTTACATTGGAAGGTATTTGAGAGTTCATGAGATTAGGATTCCAATTAACTCCTTTTTTATTTCATCAGTTTATTCAGTAAAACAATATAGAAACATTTAAAATAAACTTCAATAGCAATACTTAGTAAGTATTTCAAGCTTTTGGTATAAGCAATTTATCCCCAACAACTTAATCATGTCCAGTGTTGTTTTTTTTTTGGGGGGGGGGGTAAAAAAAAAGAAAAGGTGCCAGTACTCCATAACAGTGATTACTGTCTCTCACACACACACCAAAAGAAAAAGGAGAGGAAAGCCCTGATCTTATTTCTCCATATTCACCCTTAGGAATTCTCATGCTTCCATTTAATTAGCTTCTGGTAAGTCTTAACCATAAATCAGTCTCATGGAAGTACTGGGCTTTAAACCATTTTCTCAGACGATTTCAGTTCAACAGTTTGGATGTAACCAAGATGCAGCTCAATCCTATTTTTGTTGACTAGAAGTAAATCAGAGTTCAGTAGGGCTTACTCCTAAATAAGAATGCACAGGCTTGCAGCTTTAAATTAACAATACAAATCTCAGAGCCTAAAAAGCTGGCAAATTATAAATCTAAATCTAAAGGCCAGGGTCTATATACATAAGACATTACGTAAGGGCAGGATATGGTCAAAACAAAACATTTAAAGGACACATCACACAGTTAAATGGAGTAAATATTCTAACAGAAGCAGAGCACTCAGAACCTGATTCAGCTAATAAAGCCACTACAGAGGCCCTGCTAGAATACATTGTCACTTGGCTCTGAAAAACCTAGCACACAGAGGTGGGGAACTATCCTGCTTCCTTTTGAACTCCTTGGAGGAAAGGTAGGATATACATATAGTAAATAAAATGAATATAGCATGAGACACCCCCCCCCATGCCTGCTCTAGGGCATAAGAGAATTTCCCATTGCAAACTGAAAAATTTCCACTTGAAAATTTCCCAAAAACCCATGTCCCTGATGGGGAGTAACATAGGCTTTCAGGACCAAGTGACATTCTGTAGTGGCTTTAGTGACAAACATAATTAGGTCTTTTGTTTTGCTTTCTTCTGTATCTGTATTCCAACTCAACTAGTGTTGAAATCAGCACAAGGCTACTTTAAAATGGTTTAAGGAAGCACTGACTACTGAATTGGCCTAATTAATACCCACCTTTAGCCTTGAAAAGTTGTGCTGCGGCATTCCACTCTTTAATGACCTTGCTCATAAGTAAGACACTCAGCATGACTGATTGCTCTTTTAGACTTTTGCAGCTGAGCAGGTGTTTGGATGGAAGACCCGGGAACCGCTGCCGCATGGAAGTACTGTGCTCTGAAATCCATGCTGGATATAAACGTTGTTGCAGAGAATAATAGCCCCCTCACAAGACTAATATTATTGTACTAGGGAGTTGTTTTTCCTCATCCCATGCTTATTGTTTACTGGGAGATGTACAGAGCGAGCCCTTTCAATGAACTTCCCAGCTGGAAGAGGGCTTAGGTAAGGGAAAGCCCCTCTACACATGATGAGAGGCACTCCTTTGCTACAGGGCTGGGGAGCGTGAGGCTTGTTTCTTCAGGAAAGGGAAATGAAATCCCGGTGACCCCGACCCCAGCTCGCATTTCATTTTGAACTCTTCCCTTCACCGTCTTGAATATAAGCTAGAAGCCATGGGCACACCCCTCCAATCCAGGACCACAGTGGTTTGGTCCTACATTAGCCATGTACGTGCTAAGAAGGTTGACAAGGAACCAAGGCTGCGCTTGGTGGCCCACGAGGCTCTCACGGGGGAGCCGGGCTTGGGTTCTCCTTGTCCCTTCTCCGCCCCTAGTGCTTCACAGTGCGTCACGCCAGGCCCGGGGGTCCCTCGTCCGTTGCGCCTGCGGAGGCGCAGGAGTCGAGGCAGCCTGGCTCGGAGCCGAGTGGGCGAAGGCTGCCAAGGAAAGCGGCGGCTCCTGTTTGCCATGGGGAGGCGCGGCGCAGACTCGACGGTTTGCTTGGCAGCGGGCTCGGCCGCCAATTTGGCAGCCGCGCCAGGCACTCCTCGCCCTCGTTATTATGTAATGGGGCCGGAGGAGCGGGGCCGCGGGAAGCCCTTGCTCATCCCTCAGTTGCAGCCGCGCCAGGCCGAGGCGAGGGAGTCGGCGGGGAGGTGGCGCCATGAGCCAAGAAGGGAACCTCAACGAGCTGCCCGACGGCTCCCCGGTCGTGAGGGCCGCCGTGGCCGCGCTGAGGCGCCGAGCCCAGGAGGAGAATGTACAGCCTTCGCCCTGGTCCCTGTCCGACGCCTTCCTGGTCCGCTTCTTGCGAGCTCGGGATTTCGACGGCGAGCTGGCATGGAAGGTAAAGGGAGCGCGCGGGCGCGTGCACGATAAGCGCGTCTAGCCCACCCGGGCTGCGGGGGACGCCGGCTGCTCAAGGCTGAGCGCGCGCGGGGAAGCCTACCTGGCTCACTCTGTTTTTCAATGCACACATATCAGGGACTCAGTCCCACCTTGCCTAAGATTGCAGCACTACCACGCTTTCTTGAGATGCCTAAGCTTCAGGTTGTGACTACAGCACGCATCTCACTACAAGCGAAATGCAGGCAGAGAATCAGTTTGCACACTGCAAAGCATAAGAGGAGGACATGGGTCGGTTGCACTTCTGTGTAATGTGCAATTGATTTTTGAATTCTGAATTTATTGTTATTCACGTTTTATACAGTATTTTATGCTGTTTTTTGTTGCATCAATTAAGTGTTTTAAATTTGTTGTTAGCCGCCCTGAGCCCGGTTTTCTGAATTGGGAAGGGCGGGGTATAAATAAAAAAATATTATTATTATTATAGCCAGGCTGAACTGTGGCAGGCTATGGAGAGGGCTTTAGCCACATCAGAAGCAAGCATTGCATTGCAGTTTAAAGTAGCTCTTAGAACAGCTCTTGGAAATGGCCGTGTATGCACATGCAATAGTAATACTTCAGGATATTTAGGAGCACCTTGAGTTAAAGCAGCTTTACATGGCTGCTTTGGGCCCCACCCCACCCCACTCTGGGGCTTCCTACCTTACAAGCTTAAGGATGGACACTACAGTTATTTAACAGCATCGACTTCCTATTCATAGGCACCTTGTTACAAACACACAGGACATTTTGGCAACTGAGGCCAACCTTCCCTGGCCAGGGAAGAAGGGGTGAGTGAAGCTCTACATCAGCACTAAGGGGGGGGGGAAGAAAGACTAACATTGAGGTCTGCTGCCCCTGTGAGCCCTGTGGCCTGAGTTGGCCGCCTCACCTGCCCTCACAGGTGGACTTGCTCTGGAAACACACCACGCCTGCTAAATGTTAGAATGAAATAAATTGATGGTATATTTTTGCTTTGCACAGTTTCTGCTTAATGTTACTATTCTTGAGGGGCAGTAAAATACTTGTTTTAAAAATACAAGTCGTTAAAAAAAGGCGTAGTGAAAAAATAGTTCCCAAAGTTTCTTTACATCACAAAAAAACAAAATATATGGCATTAGATGCACAGCATCACATAAAGAATACCATGTTGTGTGCAGCAAATAGTCCAAAGTTTGTCCTATAAAGCCCAGTGAGAGGCAAGTCCACTGGTCTCTTTTGGATTGTTTATTTGTCCTGAAGCTCACACTTCCATGTTTGCATATAAAACTCCAGAGACATGGTCTTGTAAAATGGTTCCTCATTCATAGATTACTGCATCTGTATTTGGACCCTATTGGCTAGAACCTTTCAACTTTATATATTTTCTAGTTAATGTGACCCCCCCCCCCAGGTGCACTTGCTTTTAAGGAACTTTTTATTTCAGGATACTGTTTAGAATT